AATTTGTATGGAACCAGAAAATACTCCAAATAGTCAAGGAAGTGTTGAAAAAGAAAACCAAAGCTGGGGGCATCACAATGGCTGACTTCAAGCTATATTACAAAACTGTGATCATCAAGACAGCATGGTACTGGCACAAAAACAGACACATAGATTAATGGAACAGAATAGAGAGCCCAGAAATGGACCCTCAACTCTGTGGTCAACTAATCTTCAACAAAGCAGGAAAAAATATCCAATGGAAAAAAAGAGTCTCTTCCGTAAATGGTGCTGGGAAAATTAGACAGCCACATGCAGAAGACTGAAACTGGACCATTCCCTTACATCATACACAAAGATAAACTCAAAATGAAAGATCCCAATGTGAGACAGGAATCCATCAAAATCCTAGGGAAGAACATAGGCAGTAACATCTTTGACCTTGGCCACAGCAACTTCTTTCATGACATGTCTCCAAAGACAAGGGAAACAAAAGCAGAAATGAACTTTTGGTACTTCATCAAGAGAAAAAGCTTCTGCGTGGCAAAGGAAACAGTCAACAAAACTAACAGGCTATCCACAGAATAGGAGAAGATATTTGCGAATGTCTTATCAGATAAAGGGCTGGTATCCAAGATCTATAAAGAATGTATCAAACTCAACCCCCAAAAAACAAATCAGTCAAAAAATGGGCAGAAGACATGAACAGACACTTCTCAAAAGAAGACATACAAATGGCTAACAGACACATGAAAAAATGTTTGACATCATTAGCCATCAGGGAAATTCAAATCAAAATCACACTGAGATACCACCTCACACCAGTTAGAATGGCAAAAATTAACAAGGCAGGAAACATGAATGTTGGTGAGAATATGGAGAAAGGGAACCCTCTTACACTGTTGGTGGGAATGCAAGCTGGTGCAGCCACTCTGGAAAACATTATGGAGGTTCCTCAAGAAGTTAAAAATAGAACTACCCTATGACCCAGCAATTGCACTACTGGGTATTTATCCCAAAGATACAGATGTAGTGAAAAGAAGGGGCACCTGCATCCCAATATTCATAGCAGCAATGTCCACAACAGCCAAACTGTGGAAGGAGCCAAGGTGTCCTTCAACACATGAATGGATAAAGAAGATGTGGTTCATATATACAATTGAATATTACTCAGCCATCAGAAAAGATGAATACCCACCATTTGCATGGAACTGGAGGAGATTATTCTAAGTGAAATAAGTCAAGCAGAGAAAGACAATTATCATATGGTTTCACTCATATGTGGAACATAAGGAATAGCATGGAGGACATTATGGGAAGGAAGGGAAAACTGAAGGGAGGTGGAAATAAGGGAGAGGGATGAACCATGAGAGACTATGGACTCTGAGAAACAATCTGAGGGCTTAAGAGGAGAGGGGGGTGGGGGTATCGAGTAACAGGGTGATGGGTATTAAGGAGGGCACGTGTTGTAATGAGCACTGGGTGTTATACACAGATAATGAATCACTGAACACTACATCAAAAACTAGTGATGTACTGTATGGTGACTAACATAACATGATAAAAAAAAAAGGCTGGAATGAAATGATTGGTAGCATTTTGGTGATTTTTTGGTAAAATTTTTGGTTGTTAGCATTTTGGTGATTTTTGTCTTCTTTCTACTTTTGGACTTTTCAAAATCATCTACAGTAGCAACTGACTAATTTTTATTTTTTTAGTAAAGATTTTATTTATTTCCTTCAGAGACAGAGAGAGCACAAGAGAGCACAGAGGGAGAGGGAGCACAGATGGAGAAGGAGAAGCAGACTCACCACTGAGCAGGGTGCCTGATGCAGGACTCAGTTCCAGGACCCCAAGATCATGACCTGAGCTGAAGGCAGATGCTTAACCAGCTGAACCACCCAGGCACCCCCAATTGACTGATTTTTAGATAAAAGAGTAGATAAAAGCATTTCTTAACGCTCAAATGTCCTATTTAGATTGTTAAAACTACAACTATAAGATGTCCTTATGCTTATGTAGATGCATATTACCTTTGAAAAGCAGAACTCTGGGTAATAATCATAGTTCATGATTCTTATGTTCGTATCTATTAATTTTGACTTTCTCACTTTGCTTATTATACTAATTTTTGTACACAGAAGAAAAGACACCCAAGACAGTCTCCCAATGACACAGCGATCTTTAGTACATTTTTTTTCGACAACGAATTCAGATATTACACTGCCATTGTCATGGTCATTATCCTATGAAATGCCTCTTGATTACAATCTGTCTAGCCCACAATTTAGTGGAATAACTATATCAACAATTGGGCAGAAGACTCCTAAAACTACAGGAGTGGGCCTTTCCAGATTGGAAAACAGCTTGGGTAAGCAAAACATGTACCAAATTTTTTGAGACTATTTTTAAAGCATGTAGTTCAATAGCTTCTTTATATGCCTGGACGTCAGAATGTCTTCTGATAACACAGATTTCTTAATGTCATATGCAGAGTAACTTGATTATGCTCACCACTGATCCTAACACTGAGTCATACATATTCAGGTCATATAAATGTATGTGGCCAAATGTATCATCCCTATGATTAAAATATCTTGAATTGTCATAATGGTTCATGGGTTGATGCTTAGATGCTCTAGAATTGCTAGATAAAAATTCTAATGTATAGCATTAACTCCCTTTCCTCTGAACACTACCGGAAAGATTAAGCAATGTCTTGTGCATTTGTGCCATTAGGAGACATGCTTAAGTAAGGAAAAGACAGACATATAACAGAAGCAAAATAAATGGTAAGAAAATGGTGGAAAGATAGGAGAACAATAATGAATTTGGAGGAGAAGAAAATGAAAACAGTACTACAATAGGAAAAAGTCAGGTTTTGACAGTTGCCAACAGTGTAAGCAATGCACTCAGCAATATCCACAGTGTGTTCCTAATGATGTTAGGGAACTTTAAAGGTATGTTATCATGGTTTACTGAAAAAATCATGGTCTTGGAAACAGAGAACTTAGGTCTAAAGGATATTTCTACCTACACTGTGAGATAATAGGTTAGGTATCCCTGAGTTCCATTACCCACAAGTGCAAAATAGGGATTAAAATATCAGCTTCACAGGGCTGGCCTAAGGATTAAATAAAATACTTATGAAAATCACCTAGCATATAGTAAGTGCTTAATAAAAAATTAGTCATGAATATGAATATATCTGTAAGCACCTCCTCATTGAATAGGCTAGATTGGGGGTCTGTATTTCAATTACCAGTCAACAAGTTTCAAAACTGGTAGCATAAACACACCCATGACTACCTGTTGTCTCTATTTTCCTCTATTATTCTGTGGATATTTAAGCCTGGCTGCTGCTTGTCTATATTTCATTTTGTTTCTGGCATTTTCCTAAGCTTGTGACACAGTGTTATGTAGGATTTTGATCTGCCATTATTCCCTATGCTTCATTGTTTGTATGCCTATAATGCACTTTTTAAAGAAGCCTCCTAAGATCACACTGACCTTTAGCAATGACCAAAATCCATATACTCAAAAGTGAAAATACCAACTTTACATCCAGGGAGGGAATATTTTTCCTTCTTTATCCCTGTATCATCATGGTATATATTCTATATTTGGATTAAACTGTGCAAGCTCTTAGGGGAAAAACAAAATACAGTAGTTTCCCCTTGCAAGATGAGAGTTGAGCTGGGGTGTGTAGTCTTCTCTTTCAGTTGCTGTAGATTCAGGTTCTGTAGATAAATGCCTGGGTCCACTGAAACTTGTTGCATTTGGTTCCGTTCCTTCTGTTCCTCTAGGTGAAATAACAACTAGGATTAAAATTAATCTGTCTTCTTCCTTTTTATAGTATAAATGTTTTCATCCCTCAAGATGAGCCATTAAAAAGAATACTATATAATCTCTTTCCCCAAAGGAACTCAAGGATTAAGTAAATACTCAAGTGACTGGGAATGAACTAATTTAATTCCAAACATTTCTTTAATCCTCTTTAGAAACTATGTGTTTATTCTTTTTCATCTTTCACCTTGCTTTGGTTTTGTTAAGGATACAAGAATATAAAGCATACTCTAGATTGTCTCAGTCCTTTGATGATTTTGGACACAGTGTCACATCAACCAAATCCCCTGAACTACAATAATTGCTATCACTTACTAAATACCTGTTAAAAACTAGACACTACACTGGAAAGTTATCTACATTTTCTTCAATCTTCACATTGCCTTATTCTTTGTTCAGGAAAATGGAGAATTAGTTGTCTTACTAAGTGGCAGAGCTGGGATACAATTGCAGGTCTGTCTAAATCCAAGACACAGTGTTCTATCCACTTCACCATTGTCTCTCTCTGTAGTGTTACTCACTCTTTGCAGACACATCATTAGATTTACCCAGCCTGCTTCTTTCCATGCAAAATTATAAAAACTGTTCTGTATTTAAATCTTAGTAGTGATAATTTTAAAAGAACAACTTTCCAAGAGGATACTAGAGTCTGATTAAGCATTACTCTATCTTTCTAATAAACTATTTTAGTTGAATAGAGGAAATTTAAGTCTTTACCTGGCAAAATTACTAATTATTGGTAGGAAGCGTTCATTTGAGGCTTTAATTGAGGGGTAGTAATTTGGGGAGGATGGCTAATATGAAATCAAGTTGTATTTATATATAACATATCCAAATTTGAGAAACTCAGATGTTTACCTCCTTGAAAACTTATGATGCTTCTACTACAACTGAATAATCAGTTAAATAAAAGTCATTATGCTAATGGTATTATTGATATTTTAAGATAACTGACATAATCTCTAGGAATTGTGTGTCACTAAAAATAATCACTAGTTACTTCATAGACTTTGGTTTATAGCTTTTAATTATCCTCATTGAGTTTGAAAGTGACAGTAAAATGCATAAAGAATATAATTTTGTAGAAGCAAAGAATAGAGATAGTGGCTTTGTGTTCTTTTAATGTCCTTTTATTTACTTCTTTTTGTTGCTTTCCTCTTTGGTTTTTTTGAAAGGAGTCAGCAGCTCCATAATGACAAAGAGACAGGCTCTGCTCCTTGCTGCTCAGACACCAGTAACTGGGGAAGGAGAAGATTATTTCCAGTCTTTGTTTGGTGATTCAAAGAAACTTCTTCCACATTCATTCCATGCTGAGAAAGCCTGGAAGCACTTTTCTATGATTCTTGAAGAAGTGGGCCAATCTAGATCCAGGTACCTATTCTATTTTAACTATTTAATATCTTCTATTGGAATAGGAGCTACTTTACTTCAGTAGGTAATGAAGTTCTAACCTGATATTACATCCATGATTTCATCTAAAACCCTAAGCAGTTTATTGAAATATTACTGTTTCATGTTCTGAGGAATGATAAGAAACCAATGTAATTTTCTAGGGAACCAAACAAGGGATGCTGATTTTTCAAAGATGCAGGTGAAAACATCACTACATAATCCCTACAAATAAAGTCAACTCTATTTGGCAAATCATTCAGATGGATTTAGTGTCTTTTTTCTCTTCTACTAGGCACTTGAGTTCGAGACAGAAGGAAAAACATGGACTTAGTCATTGATCCATTTTTATAGTTGTTGGTATCTATGGCAAAAAGAATTGATCAGGAAGAAAGTTGATATTAGAGCTAAAATGAAAGAGCTGACTTATCTATACATTTACTTAACCCTGCTTTTCTTGTCGCTTTAACAACAGATTGAATTGTGAATTATTAGAAATAAACACACGTCCACAGAGGGTGTGAGAGGGATAAGGGAAGTTATTAGCTAGGTTTGAAGTTCAGACATAAAGGAAACTTTTTCCCCTTAGGTCAGATTTCCTAAAATCAACCACTATTACCATTCAACTGTAGTGAATAAAGTGTTCTCTCAACCATCTAAAAACACTTCATCAAATTATTCATTCAACATCTATCTACCATGTTAAGAATGATGACTTATTTGAAGCAAAAATTCAAAGAAAAAAAAAGACTTATGAATATGGTTTTAAGAACTTTTACTCAGATCAGGAAACGCCTGCAGGTATAAGGATTGAGAGAGGCAAATAAAGTATCAAGGCATATAGAGAATTTTCTCCCAGCAGAGGATGATCTGGGAAGATTTTGTGAAGGAGTTGTTAATTAGAATTATCTTAGAAAGATACATAAATTTTTTTTCCTGAGGGTTGCTGGAGTGGTGGGGGTTGGGAGGGATGGGGTGGCTGGGTGATAGTCATTGGGGAGGGTATGTGCTATGGTGAGCGCTGTGAATTGTGTAAGACTTGAATCACAGACCTGTATCTCTGAAACAAATAATACATTATATGTTAAAAAAAAAAAGAGAGAAGAAGAAGATAGTAGGAAGGGAAAAATGAAGGGGGGGAAATCGGAGGGGGAGACAAACCATGAGAGACTATGGACTCTGAGAAACAAACTGAGGGTTCTAGAGGGGAGGTGGGTGGGGGGATGTGTTAGCCTGGTGATGGGTATTAAAGAGGGCACATACTGTATGGAGCACTGGGTATTATATGCAAACAATGAATCATGGAACACTGCATCAAAAACTAATGATGTAATGTCTGGTGATTAACATAACATAAAAAAAAGATACATAAATTTTGGATATGCAAATTTGGAGTCTGTGAGAACATTCTAGGGCACTACTTCTCAATTCTACCTACACAATTGAATCAGTTGAGAAGTTTTTAATGTCCTGACCCTATCCTAGATTCTTTGAGTCAGAATTTCTAGTGGTAGAATTGACCATCGTAATTTTTTAAAATCCCATGGAAATTCTAACGCACAGTCAAGGTTGAGAACCACCAGCCTAGAACGAAGGAGCAGCATAAACGAAGTGAAGGAGGCAAAAAACGCTAGGACCAGGTAGGTATAAGGCATTTTATAGCATTGCCCCACTGAACAGTGCATCAGTTGGTGTAACAGGCCAGGGTTGGGGAATGATCACAGTGAGCCTTGAACACCAGGATGAGGAATCTGATTTTCACAATAGGAAATGGGAAGCAATGGGAAAGTTTCAAACAAAGGAGTAACAGGATCATGATTCCGAATGTTTAATTGTGGCAATGAATATTATGAATGAATATTGGATTTTTGTCAAATGCTTTTTATGTATCTACTGAGATGATCATATGGTTATTCTTTCTCAATGTTGAAGCAACCCTACACACTTAAACTCCTTTGATCATAATGTTTATTCTTTTAATATATTATTGAATTTTATTGGCTAAAATTTTGTTTCAAATCTTTACACCTGTGTTTGTGAAGAGTATTGATCTGTAGTTTTCTTCTCCTGTAATGTCTTTTGTCTGCTTTGGAATCAGGGTAAAGCTTGCCTCATAGGATGAGTTGGGATATATTCCCTCCTCTTTCATTTTCTAGCTGAGTTTGTATAGAAGCAACTTTTTTCTTAAATATTTTATAGAATTCATCAGTGAAGCATTCTGGGCCTGCAGTTTCTTTGTGGGAAGGTTTTTACCTACAAATTCTATTTCTTGAAAATAGATACCAGGATATTCCAGTTATCTATTTCTTCTTGGATAGTTTGTGTCTTTCACACAATTTGTCCATTCCATCTAAGTTGTCAGATTGTCATAAACTTGTTCATAATATTCCCTTATTATCCTTTTAGTATCTATAAAATCTGTAGTGATGTCACATTTCTTATTGCTGATGCTGGTGAGATGTGTCTTCTTTCTGTTTCCTGATCAATCTTGTCTAAGAGTCATCAGCTTTATTGAGCCTCTCAAACAACCAGTGTTTGGTTTCATTGGTTTTCTGTGTTTTTTGTTTTTTTTTTTTATTTTACTGATTTCCATTCTGATATGTATTTACTTTCTTCTGCCTACTTTAGGTTTAATTTCCTTTTCTTTTTCTGGTTTCTCAAGATGGAGTCTGAGATCATTGATTTGATACCCCTTTCTCTTCTAATATAAGCATTTAGTAAATTTTCCCCTAAGTACATCTTTAGTGACATCCCACAAATTTGATATGTTGGATTGTCATTCATTTCAAAATATTCCCTAATTTCCACTTAATTTCTTTGATCTTTGTGTCATAAGAAGTTGACATAAGAAATATTGACAAATTTGCCAGTTCCAGTGATTTTACAGATATGTTTTTGTTATCAATTTCTAATTCTATAGTGGTCAAAAGAACATACTTTGTATGAATGACTTGGGTCCTTTTAAATGTGTTGAGACTTGTTTTATAATCAGGATATCATCTATCCTGGTAAAAGTTCTGAGTGTGCTTACAAAGAATTTATATTCTGATGTTGTTAAGTAGAGTTTTTTATAAATGTCAGTCAGGTCTTGATGGCATTAAGTTACTGCCTTTTTGCTGATTTTATGTCCACTTGTTCTATCAATTTTTGAGAAAGAGATGTTAAAATCAACTATAATTGTGGATTTGTTGGTTTTGCCTTGCAGTTCTATCAGTTTTTGTTTTATGTACTTTGAACCTCAGTTACTAGATTTGCAAACATTTGGAATTGTTATGTCCTTTTAATGAACTGATCTCGATGTCATTATGAAATGACCTTCTTTATCCCTGGCATTATTCTTAGCTCAGAAATCTACTGATATTAATACAACCACTCCAGCTTTCCTTTTATTATTGTTAGCATGGTAAGTCTTTTTTCATTCTTTTACTTTTAACCTATTTGTGTCTTTATATTTAAAATGTATGTTTTGTAAGTAGCATGCAGTTGAGACTTGTTCTTCTATCGAGTCTAATCTCTGTCTTTTAATTTGAGCATTTAAACTATTTACATTTAAAGTAATTGTTAATATGGTTAGGGTTAGGGTTACTATCTTGCTATTAGTTTTCTATTTGCCCCAACTATTCTGTGTTGTCTTTTTCCTCTTTTTCTGTATTCTTTTGAGTTGAATATTATCAATGACTCCATTTTATCTCCATTGTTGGCTGATTAGCTATAACTCTGTTATTTTAGTGGTTCCTTTCAGATTTATAGGATATATCTTCAGCCTATCACAGACTACCTTCCAGTGATATTATACCACTTCACAAATAGTATAAGAGCTTTACAATACTATTCTTTTATTTCTTTCATCCCAGATATTGTGTTTTAGCTATCACGTATTTTATATCTATGTATGTAATAATCCCATACTCCATAGTTACTTTGTTTAATAATTATTAGAAGAAATTTAAAAGATAAGAAAAATATGTTATATATTTACCCTTATATGTTTTCACTGCTTTCCAGTGTTTTTAGTGCTTTATTTTTGTAAGTCATGTTTCCATCCCCTATACTTATGCTACTACCTGAAAAAGAACTTCCTTTCTTATAATATGGATCTGCTTGTGATGAATTCTTTCTTGTTTTTTAAACAGCTTTATTGAGATATCATTGACATAAAAATGGTATGTGTATATATATATATACATATATATATACCCACACATACACATGATGTATAACTTGATTTTTTTTATTAAGATGTAATTGACATATAATATAATATTGTGTAAGTTTAAGGTGTAAAACATGACGATTTGATATATATATATATGGTGAAAGGATTACCATAAGGTTAGTTAACAGATCCATTACCTCACATAATTACCTTTTTGGTGTGTGTGGTGAGAACATTAAGATCTATCCTCTCAGCAATTTTCAAGTATATAATACAGTATCATATACATAGTCACTGTGCTGTACATTAGATCTCCAGAACTTACTCATTTTGCTTAACTGAAACTTTGTACCCTTTGAACCACATAACCCTATTTCTTCCTCCTCACAGTCCTTAGCAACAACCACCATCCTACTCTGCTTCTGTAAGTGTGATTATTTTAAATTCCACATACAAACAAGATCATACAGTATTTCTTTCTGTGTCATGCTTATTTTGCTTAGCATAATGTCCTCCAATTCCATCCATGTTGTCATACATCCATGTTGAAGTCAGGATTTCCTTCTTTTTAAAGACTGAATATTTCAGTGTGTGTGTGTGTGTGTGTGTGTGTGTATTTGTGTGACATTTTCTATATCCATTCATCTATTGAAGACATTTAGGCTGTTTCCACATCTTGACTATTGTGAATAATGTGCAATGAACATGAGTGCAGATATCTCTTCCTGATCCTGATTTCACTAATTTGGATATACACCCAGAAGTGGCATTGCTGGATCATATGGTAGTTATATTTTCAATTTTTTTAGGAAACTCCATATGTTTC